CTCTGAGTGAGGTCACTTGTGTTTTTCAACAGCCTAAGTGACTTCTATGTTATCTTAGGGCCAGAGCAATCCTGATACCACATGCGCTATGTTTACCTAAGTCAAGCTCCCTAAACCCTAAATCTTGGGCACAATCTCTGAGTCCACAGTACCCATTCTTGTAAAAGAAGCCAGTCATACTTTGTAAGGACTCTCAAGGTAAGCATGTCTTAAAGTGTGCACTTGGGGCTGAGTTCATTGTTATCTGAATACTTTCCCCCAACTTGTGCTGTGCTTAAATAGGACTGAAGCAAAATGACCTGGGCCCGACTCTAGAAGTCCTGCTCCAGCACCGGTTACAACAAACTGGGGCTGAGCTGAGTTTCCTTCTTGTCTCTTGGTGGGTCCTTTTCCCCCTGCCTCCTGTAAAGCCTAAAGGGGAATCACAGCAGCAGTCTCCTTGGTAATTTGTGCCCATAGGTTCTTGCCAAGTTAAATGAAATGATGCGTGGTTACTAAGTATCCAGGCCTCTTAAAAAGCAGATATGATTTAGAAACTTGTGTACTGGAGGTTTCTTCATGTGGCAAAGCTATGCCATTTTGGGTTTGTTTAGCAAACATGACTTGACCCACAGTAAATCTTGTGTGGGGAAAAAGCAAGGTTACCAGAAATTAGGAAATGGCATGGTTCACAGAAATTGTGAAACAGCACAGCTTTCTGCTGTGCCAACCTGATCCATGCTGTACACGGTAAACAGCTCGTAATGGCTTTCTTCCCGCTACTCTCTGGAGAACAGGTGAATACATTTTGAGCACTGGATGCTAACCGACCCTCCTGAAATAAGGGAGTCACCACCTATGGCAAAATAGGTAGAGAAGCTGTTCACTTCTTAGAGGAGCTGTGATGAGAGATCAGGACCAGGCTCCTAGTTACAGGAGTTCTTTTCTTCTTTCCTTTTTTAAAAAAATATTTATTTATTATGTATACAATGTTCTGTCTTCGTGTATGCCTGCAGTCCTGAAGAAGGCACCTGATCTCACTACAGATGGTTATGAGCCACCATATAGTTGCTGGGAATTGAACTCAGGACCTATGGAAGAGCAGGCAATGCTCTTAACCACTGAGCCATCTCTCCAGACCCTACAGGAGTTTTTTTTTTTTTTTTTATAGTTTTGGGTTGTTTAAGTTTTTTTTTTCAGCAGAAATGAATGAAGAAACAAAGAAAATGGGAAACTAGAAAAGAAGAGGGGGCCGCTGCCATCAATTGGCTGAAATGGAATTTTAGATAAGGTTGCCAAAATGAGTTTGGTTGCTGTTTGTTTGTTTTTGAGATAGAGCTCACATTGGAACCAGGCTGGTCTCGAACCATCAACAGAACCTTAGTCTCAGTGTCTCAAGTGCTGGAACTATGAAGTAAACCACCATGTCCAACCAAAAGGAATGCTAATATGAAAGTAGACGGAGGGGGGAGGCTGGAGAGATGACTAAATGGTGAAGAGCACTGGCTGCTCTCCCAGAGGAGCGGGGTTCAAGTCCCGGCGCCCACATGGCAGCTCACAACTGTCTGTAACTCCAGCTCCAGAGGATCGAATACCTTCATACCAATACACATAAAAGAAAGTCAAATAAATTAAAAAAAGAAAGTAAATAGATATCAGACTTTAATCGTCCTGCTACAATGACAAAAGTTTGCTCTGGTCTCAGTAAGGGACTGAAAAAGTTTTTCTTTTTTAAGTTACTGGCCTAGGAAAGGAAGATTTCAAGTTTTATCAGGATGCTCCTGTGTGTTCTGTGTGTACATGCTGTAGGTTCCTGGTTACAAAATCGTGACTTCATCTGCCTTTGAATTCTTTATCTGCTCTTGATATTTATTATGATTTTTGCTAAATGCATAACTAAGATGTATTTCTCAATTATCTGTGACCCTGTATAGTCACAAGCTTAAACTATTTTATTTATTTATTTTATTTACTTATTTATGGCTAGCCTGGAACTCAGCCTTTTTTTTTTTTTTTTTTTTTGAGGTCAGTAGTGAATCTACTCATGGGGCAGGGGACAGCACCTGCTCGACATTCCACAGACACCAGGGTTGCCGCAGTTCAGAGTCTTCGCTTTTCTCTGGAGGCCACTGCACACCTTGGGTTCAAACAGAATCCAGAAGAGACGAAACAGATAGACAAACGCAAATGCTGACTTAATAATCAAGAACTGGCTTGTTCACTGGCAGCCAAGGCCCAGGCTGTGAAGCGCTCCCACAATACATCCTGGGTGCTTCTAGTCAAATACCAGGGTGGACGAAAGCTTAGGCTACACGGTCCCAGTTTTCCGGTTCAGGAACTGGCAACCCACCGGATGCAGGGCAAATGATGTGGTGGCAGTTGGTCCTGCTAAGTCAGAGCTCTTACCAGAAGCCCCACAGCTCATGGGCACATCCACTTATGACTAGCTGCACTGTCCAAAGACGAAAATATGAGAAGGGGGCTTGAGGTCTCAAGGAAGTGACCACACAATTCAAAATATTTTGGCCAAGCAATAAGTTTTAGGTTTCTAGCACCCATGTTAGGCCGCTCACAACGACATATGATTCCGGTCCAGGGTGTCTGACACCCTCCTCTGGTCTCCTCAGGCATCTGCACACATGTTCATTCCTCCCAAAGACACACACAATTCAAAACTATCTAAATAAATGCTTTTTTTGTATGTGTGTGTGTGTTGTTTTGTTTTTCAAGACAGGGTTTCTCTGTAGTTTTGGAGCTTGTCCTGGAACTCACTCTGACTTTGGACAAAATTAATCTTTTAAAAATTACTGATGAAATATATGTGCTAAACTTTATTTAAAAATTATCTTCCCCCCTCATGAAATATCGATAGTTTTAGTTTTGTGTTTTTTAATTTATTTGTTTAATTGCATTGATATTTTGTCATGGGTGTCAGGTCCCCTGGAACTGGAGTTACAGACAGTTGTGAGCCACCACATCAGCACGGGGATTTGAACTTGGGTCCTTGGAAGAGCAGTCGGTGCTCTTAACAGCTGAGCCATCTAACCAGCCTGTGTTATTAGTTTTGACTGTCAATTTGACACAACCTGGAGTCATCTGGGAAGAAATTCCTAGTGAGGAATTCTCTAGATCAGGTTGGCCTGTGGGCCTGTCTATGAGGGTCTGTCTAGTTTGTTAACTGATGTAGGAAGGTCTGGTCCACTGTGGAGAGCGCCATTCCCTAAGCAGGGGTGTCTATGAGGGTGTGTCTAGTTTGTTAACTGATGTAGGAAGGTCTGGTCCACTGTGGAGAGCTCCATTCCCTAGGCAGGGGTGTCTATGAGGGTGTGTCTAGTTTGTTAACTGATGTAGGAAGGTCTGGTCCACTGTGGAGAGCGCCACTCCCTAGACAGGGGTGTCTGGAGAGCACAAGAGAGGAGAAAGCTGGCAGAGAGCAAGCAGGTAGGGAAGCCAGCAAGGATGCAGTTCTCTCTCTGCTTCTGAGGGCTGATGCGACATAAACTAACTGCTTGTGAGTTCCTGCCTTTACATTTCTGAAACGATGCTGGAAACTTGGGAATTGTAAGCAAATAAACGGTTTTCTTCGCTAAGTGGCTTTCTGTAAGGGCATCTGTCATAGCCCCAGAACTGAAACTAGAACACCAACTCTTCAAAAACCCATTGCGTCAGCCGGGCAGTGGTGGCACACGCTTTTAATCCCAGCACTGGGGAGGCAGAGGCAGGCAGATCTCTGTGAGTTCGAGGCCAGCCTGGTCTACAAGAGCTAGTTTCAAAACAGGCACCAAAGCTACAGAGAAACCCTGTCTCAAAAAACCAAACCAAACCAAACCAAAATCCAGTACATGCTCTATGTGTCGTGCACCGGGTGAGCTGCACCATATTCAAAAGGCTCGTGGTCACAAAGACTACTTGGAGAAGAGCCAGGACAGTAGCTTCAAGGGACCCCGAAGTGCAGGCTGATGGGGCAAGGGGGTCCCTGGAGGCCTAGCATTGCTGTGGATGACTGGTCCAGGGGTTCCTAAGGACACAGCAGAAGGAGCAGTAGCCTAGCTCCTGCATTGTGAAGAAGGCCCAGACCCAGGGGCAGGGACCATTCCAGGATCTTGGTTTCTGCTATTTAGGAGAAACCTAGCAGCACATCCAATCACACGCAAGCATCCGCTTACCTCCCCCTGATCGAATTTCCCCATCTTTCCGTGAAGATGTGCTGAGGCAAGAAGAAAGACTGCAATTTCAGGAAGGCCTTGGCCAACTTCACATTGCACCTCCTGAGGCTCCACTGGGTGCGGTCCAGACCCACCAGGCTCACCACCAAACTCCAAGTCTTCTAATAAAAAGATAAAAGATGAGAAGGAATGGTGGGATCGCACAAATACGTTAGTCTAGCACTGGGAGGATGCCATGTGCCTGGAATAAACTTCTAGTGTTCTCGCGTGGCCCCTCTTCAGCCTGTGAGCAGAGCCTTGGCCTGAGAGGCACCATATTGCCCTTTGGCTCTGGACTAGAAGGATGACAGCGATCTGTAGCTCTCTCCAGCCCTGGTCCAAAGCATGTCAGCCAGTAAAAGGGCATGGATTTCTGCAGAGAAGGCTCCTGAAGTGGGAGACTAGCTTTGGGGCGCTGGGGAAGGCACAGTAGAGGGCTGCAGTGTCCTGGCTAGGAAAATGGCTGCTGCTGGCCTGGGCTGGGGAGACTCCCAGGCCTGCAGAAAGCATCAGTACTTTTATTCTAAGTAGGGAGGTGGAGAGCCAAGTCCTGACTCAAGTTCTAATACAAGAGGTTCGTTTTTCTGACCCTTTCCTTTCTAAAACACTATCTAGCGTAACACTCCATAATCTGTTTCCACATCCCACCTCCAGGTAACTCATTGGTTTACAGAAAACAGGAGCAGAAATATCTGAGAAAGCAGAACTTTAAAGAGGCTGTTGAGCCCACCCACAGCATCCGGACCTCGGTTCGCAAATGGTTATATATAAGCACCCAGAACTCCACTATCTACAGGAACTTCTAACTTCCTTGAAACAAGAGCATCCTTTAAACACAAGACATGGACTCCAGCTCCAAGTCCACAGTGGTCAACATCAGCAGCAGCGATGTCCCAAAGGATTATGTGACCTGGTCCACATTTAACACAGTGTTCATGAACAGCTGTTGCCTGGGTTTCCTTGCGTATGTCTTCTCTGTGAAGGTGAGTGTCCTTGTCGGGGGAGTGATGGGGCAAGAAGGTGTGTGTGGGACTGAGGCTCTTCCTGCCCAAAGAACACCTGGGATATGTACAGCCTTGTGTTTGTGCACGCGTGACACTTGGTGTTTGGTGTCCTGTATGTAGCTATGTTTGTGTCTGTAGACTGTGTAGACAGCATATAGTGCAGGTGAATTTTATGTGTCTTGGAGACTCTCCTAGGTAGGCAAAGGGTAAGGCTGCCTAGTGATTCTGGGTGAGACTGTCTCCACTCTCGAGGACTTCTCCTGACAGCTTAGCGTCTGGAATGCCCCTTCACCCTGCAGCCTGGGGCACCAGTGTGTGTACAAGCAGGGCTTACAGAAAACAGTACCCCATGTTGGGACAAGCAGACAGTGTTGGGCTCTGCGGGGCAGTCTGAATGTGTGAGAGGGAGGGGGTCCTTGTGCTGAGGGAGGAGATGGCAGTGGGCAGGAAGGACAGTGGGGAAACTGAGGCAGAGCGCAGGGCTCTCAGATGACTTGCTTCAAGTCCACACTGATCATCTGGTCTCCTCCAGTCCAGGGACAGGAAGATGGCGGGCGATGTGATTGGGGCCCAGGCCTACGCTACAACTGCCAAGCGACTGAACATTGGTGCCGTGGTCGTCTCCATCATCACGTTCATCGTAATTATCATTATATCCACCCAAAAAAAATAGATGATCGCTATGAAGGATGATATTCCATGAATTATGTGCTCTTCGTATACAGAGTCAGTGGATTAAATTCTCCCCTGCGCTGTTTCCTCGGGGAATGCCTGAATGTCCTCTGCCCTTCCCAGCTGCTGCTTATCCTGGCCCCGACCTGTCACTGGACTCCTCCTGGGATTGTTAACCTAACACATCTGCTCACATTGGAATCAATAAAGTGTGCGGGATGGCAATTGCGCTGTAACTCTGTCCCCCGACCGGTCCTGTCCTGAACTTACTCAGGGTTTTCCTGGCTTCCTTCCTGTCTAAGAGGAGCTGTAGGGGCAGAGTGCAGGGCCTTCACAGCCAGGAAGTTTTCTGGCCTCTTGCTGGAGACAACAGTTGACCAGCATCCTGCCTAGGGTCCTCTTTTACTTAGCAGGCACAGGCAGGCAGTAGCATATCCCTCCCAGAACTCCACAGGGCACCAGGGTTGCAGCCAGAATGCCTTAAAGCACTGAGGACTTAAAAGAATGTCCTACCTATCTAAAGAAAAGAGATGTACACGTCCCATCTGAGGGTTATGCTGTCTTTGTTTCCAGCTCTCGTTCTCTGCTCCCATGCTCTCTGTTCACACAGCTTATATACACACTCAACCACAAACTTCAGGCAGTAAACGAGGCTACAAAGGCGATTTCTCAGCGCCCTGATGCGTTCCTTGAGTAAAACCATAAGGGGCAAATAAACTTGTCTGCTACCAATTAGTTGGCAATTGTAACAGGGAGTATATGCAGTGTCTTTTTCTCTTAAGAGGGTTGCTTACTGAAGAGCAGTAGGATCTCTGTGAGTTCCAGGCCGGCCTTGTCTACAAGCAAGCTCCAGGACAGGCTCCAAAGCTACAGAGAGAAACCCTGTCTCGGAAAAGCAAAATTAAAAAAGAAAAAAAAAAAAGAAAGGTTGCTTACAAGAGTTTAGAGAAGAGAAAGGCTAAACTATTGAGCGGTCTAAGGAAGAAATAAAGAAGTTGTGTACTATTCTACATTTCTTAAGCGTATTAAGCTTTATTTATTTATTTATTTTCGAGACAGGGTTTCTCTGTAGCTCTGGAGCCTGTCCTGGAACTAGTTCTTGTAGACCAGGCTGGCCTCGAACTCACAGAGATCTGCTTGCCTCTGCCTCCTGAGTGCTGGGATTAAAGGAGTGCACCACTACCACCTGGCGCATATTAAGTTTTATAAACTGACATTGTGTGATTAACAAGACATGAAGGTGTCCTGTCCTCCCTCCATCTGCCCTTGCTACCCAGCCCTAATAACTGGAGGCCATTTTTGAGCGTCTATGAGTAACCATGGCAACCCACAGGAGGCAGGGCAAATAAAGCTGAGCTTTTTTTGTCAAGGCTGGTATTGAAAGTGTTCCAAGTTAAAAGATACATATTCTTATCCTGCAAACAGCCTCAGAGCACAAGGAGGGGATTTATTGGAGGGAAGCTAGTAGCTTTTTTTGGGTGGGGGACATTGTTTTACTGTAGCTTTGGAACCTGTCCGAGAACTAGAACTTGTAGACCACGCTGGCCTCAAACTCACAGAGATCCGCCTGCCCCTGCCTCCTGAGTGCTGGGATTAAAGACCTGGCCCACCACCACCGGGTAATTAATTTATTTTTATTTAATATGTGTTGGTGTTTTGATATGGGTATTGGGTTTTACAGGCAGACAGTTGTGAGCTGACATATAGGTGCTGGGAACTTAGTCCAGGGTCATCCGTCATCTCTTCAGCCCCACAAACCCACTCCTCTGAGTGAGGTCACTTGTGTTTTTCAACAGCCTAAGTGACTTCTGTGTTATCTTAGGGCCAGGGCAATTCTGACACCACAGGTGTTATGTTTACCTGAGTCAAGCTCCCTAAACCCTAAATCTCGGGCACAATCTCTGAGTCCACAGTACCCATTATTGTAAAAGAAGCCAGTCATACTTTGTAAGGACTCTCAAGGTAAGCATGTCTTAAAGTGTGCACTTGGGGCTGAGTTCACTGTTATCTGAATACTTTCCCCCAACTTGTGCTGTGCTTAAATAGGACTGAAGCAAAATGACCTGGGCCAGACTCTAGAAGTCCTGCTTTAGCACCGGTTACAACAAACTGGGGCTGAGCTGAGTTTCCTTCTTGTCTCTTGGTGGGTCCTTTTCCCCCTGCCTCCTATAAAGCCTAAAGGAATCACAGCAGCAGTCTCCTTGGTAATTTGTGCCCATAGGTTCTTGCCAAGTTAAATGAAATGATGCGTGGTTACTAAGTATCTAGGCCTCTTAAAAAGCAGATATGATTTAGAAACTTGTTTACTAGAGGTTTCTTCATGTGGCAAAGCTATGCTATCTCAGGTTTGTATATCAAACATGGTTTGACCCATAGTAAATCTTGTGTGTGGAAAAAGGAAGGTTACCAGAAGCCCACTCCACAGCATGAGCTGCCATGAACAGGAATGTGGCAGTCGGTCCTGCAAAGTCAGACCTGTTATGGATTTCATCTCTTTAAGAGACAAGCCATGCCCACTACTGGCGACCCCTGCCCTCCTCACCATCTAGATTCTTACCGTTCCCTTTAGCACGTCAGCTTCCCTCTCCCCTGCTCCCTTCTCTGTCTCTCTCCTTTCTCTTCTCCTTCTTCCCCCACTCTCTCGCTCCTCTAAGTAATAAATATCCAATTCTATTCTGTACGATGTGTCTGTCCATGTGCCTTCTACCCACTACCTGTTCACTGGGACCAGCCACCGCTCGGGAAACAGCAGCCATCTCTGTCTGGGACTAGCTGCTCCCAGAGCCTGCTGCCTGCCTACTGCTGCTGGGGACCTTGCAGCAATTTTTAAAAAATCATAAACTTGGTGCCATGCGACTCGGATATGCGCTCCTGCCTGAAACTCCTCTCCCAGGGTCAGGATCCTGAACCGGGTTCCTTTTCCACTCCCACCATCAGCTTCCCGGCTTCAATTGGTGAGTCCCCCCCAAATCTGCTATGGTTGCTTCCCTTTACCTGAATCATGTTTGGACTGACCCGGGGTTAGTCAGTCCATGTGTTAGCACGGCATACTTCCCATGCAGTGCATTTAATTGGGGACCTGATACCCCAATTTTTTTTTTATCTTTTTTTCCCATTTCTTCTCTTTCCTTTTTTTGTTCCCTCGTCATAAATGCCACTCAGAGCAGCCCCAGCCTCTCTGGTTTCTCAGTCACTTTGAACAACTGGATCCAGCCAGGCCATAACACCCCACTCACAGCCCAAGTATGTTCATCCATGAATCCTGGATGTTCGCGCTGCTGTTTCTCGAGTTTTCATGATTCTGGCTGTGGATAGCAACCACCCATGTCAACTCCCTGGCTTTTAAATTCCAGTCGGCTTTTTCAATTCCAGCTGTGGCATGGTGCAGTTTTTCCAGTCCAGCCTTTTGCCTCCCCCACCCCTTGTGGCTTGTGGTCTGGCATGGCAGCTCAGCAACAGGGCAGATCACGCCTTTAGGTCCCTCTCATTAAGCTTAAAATCCTTACAGCTCAAAAATTGTGACTTTTTTCATACAGCATGTGGCTGCCGCCATTTTGACTGGGGTCAAGTGACTTTATCACCATCTTGACTAGGGCCATGTCAGGTGAATATATTCCACCATCTTAACTCAGGTATTACCTGCCGGGTTCCCCATTGTTAACTTTATTACATGGGTGACCTTACTGCCATCTTGTCTAAGAGCCAGGTCAGGTGACCAAGTTCTCCCATTTTTACTTAAGTATACCTTGCCTTGTCACCCATTTTCACTAAAATCCTCTTGTTAACTCTGTTACATGCGTTTTACGCAGTGGCATGCCTTTGATAGGGCCCATCAAAGTATCCATGTTGCCCAATTCCTGTTCACTCTTTCTGTGTATAATAATTGTTCATTACATCTCATTTCAGACTACAAAATCATAAGTCTCATGCTTTAAACTTGTATGTACTATTAAGTCTCTTAAAAAATGCCTTATATTTAATCCAACCCTCATTTAAAATATATTAAGCTGTTCTCTACTATTGTCAGTTCTGCCATTAACCTTCTATTGCAAGCGGTTTCTTCTTTCTGTCTTTTTATGAGTATAAGTCTTACCTGTTAAGAGCCAGTACAGTCAGGCTCAGACCCAGCCTTCCAGGCAGATTCTATACTGAAACTATACTTAATAAACAGCCCTCAACTGCTCAGAGATCTGGGGAATGTGATATTTAAATATTTATTTATTAAAAATACTTCTTATAACAAATGAGACAGGTTGGTTCCTAGCAACAGCACTCTGCTTCCTCCAAAGAAGACAAAAGACAAATGGACACACAACAACGTCCATCTGCAGTTGGTTTCAACTGCCAGGTGCTGACCATTGGGAAAAATTGCCTTTGATCTAAACTAAAGATCTACAGACATGGACAGAATCACTGGAATCGACAGCCTAGCTGATCAGGTCAAGGGAGGCCTGTCTTCCTACAGATTTCTTAGCCCACAGGGTCTTCTGGAGCCTGACAGGCCCTGTGCTAAACAGCAAAGGCCAAGTGCAACCCTCAGCGACCATGGAGGAACCAAAAAAGACTAGCTTTGGGTGCCAACCAAGTAAGTTCTCTGTCATTTTTAAAATCAGTAACTCAAATAAAATCTTATCCTTCTCAAAGATCTCTGATACAGTTTGATAGCTGAGAGATTTTGCCAGTTTTAAAATTTCTCTCTTGGGGCTGGAGAGATGGCTCAGTGGTTAAGAGCATTGCCTGCTCTTCCAAAGGTCCTGAGTTCAATTCCCAGCAACCACATGGTGGCTCACAACCATCTGTAATGAGGTATGGTGCCTGTTTCTGGCCTGCAGGCATACATGTAGAAATTGTATTCATAGTAAATAAATAAATATTTTTAAAAAATTAAAATAAAATTTCTCTCTTATGCTGCCTTCCATAGTCTTAAAAATACTTTTCATTGTACAAAAATATGTCAAAGTCATTATACAATGTATGTGTCTTAAACTTCTGTCTTCACAAACCCAAGGAATTCTTGTAAGTTCCAGGGAGCCAAATTAAAGGATCCACCTTAAATAGGTCAGATACATCTCCATCAATTCCTTGGTCCTAAAGAAATTTTTTTTTTCTTAATTTAACTTTGTTCTTTGTTCTGCCAATACCTTAAACAGGTATAAGAGACACCAGACATTTCCATGCCACAAACACCGGACAGGAACAAAGAGA